GTCCCGGAGGAGCGGCACGAACGACGCCGATGTTCTCCGGCTTGCCACGACCCGGTATCAAGACGACGGGAACCAAGGCAAGGTGCCCATCGATCTTTGGAAGATTTTGAGTCGTTCCCCGAAGTGGCAACAACTCAACAATCCCGACGGCGGATCATTGCGGAAAAGATCCACCGTCGCCGCCGAGGTTGAGGTCGACGAGACTATCGGTTCTACCGATCAAATCCCTCCCTTCAACGTTGCGGATTCCGATGACGAGGACCCCATTCCACGGCCGATCGGAAGAAAGAAGGCAAAATCCATTGCCTCTGGTTCGGGAGGGTCCGCCTCTGTTTCCGGCTTTCCGCTTCTCCCCGCGACGAAATTGGCCGGGCAATGATTGAACAACTTCGGGCGTTCAATCTCCAAGAACAAGAGAAGTTGAAGCTTAAAGAGAAGGAGTTGAAGCTAAAGGAGCAGGAGACCGAGATGAAAGTCATGCAAACCGACCCCGGGACGTTGTCGGAGTTTGGACGAATTATCTACAAGCAAAGAATGAGAGAGATCAAGGAGAAATATAATTTACCTTAGTTTTTTTTATTAATGTATCTTTTTTTTAAATTATTGTCGCTTTTTTTTATTTAATTAATGTGTTTTTTTATTATTCGTGTTTCAATTTAATTAAATAATAAATTAATTAAATTTTATTAATTTAATTTTAGAAGATGTATATTTAAAAATGTAAAAAATGAAGGTTTGAAGCCCCAGTTTGAAGTCATGGGGCTTCAAACCCATTTCCAGTGAATTTTGGGTGTAAGTTAAAGCTGACGTGACAGAGAGAAAGTTTGAAGCCCCGGTTTGAAGCCCGGGGCTTCAAACTTATTACCAGTGCTCTAACCCTACGCTGAAAAGGAATTCCCCAAACCCATCCCCTTTATATATACACACGCACGCACAATTGAAGAAAAACTATACGGAGTTTGGGGTTACTGCCGTGTGAGAGACGAAGTCAGTACCCTGTGATCGGAACAGAGCTCAACAAAGACGACCACTGCCACTGTAGTCGCTCGACCGGGAGAGGTCAGCCGCTGCCATCGCTCAGGCCACCGTCCGGATTGCCTAGAATCTGGACGCCGCTGCTTCGCTATTGCCGATCACCATCTTCTTCACTGTTGAGTTTTGAATTGTTTTTATCCGCCAATTAATTGAGATCAGAACTTGCACATCTAATGCTAGATTATGTATATAGATTTGAAATTCATGTTCGTAGTTTCGTATGATTGATTACGTGGTTTATTTGTTTATAATTGAATTGTGATTTATTTATATCTTATGATAATATTGGAATTGATTGAACGAGGACAACCAGGTATGTATTCTTACTCTAAATTGTGTAGGTTTGCATGATAATAATCTTTAAAAATGGTGTACATATTGTATGGTTTGGAATTGGATTGAAATCTGTCGCTCCGGTGACTTCCCGACGTCAGACGGTAGTTAGGTACCGCCTAACGGTACCGTGCTACTGCCACTGAAGGTTGCCACTGCCGATACCTGCGCCCGCTCGGTACGAGGGTACCGGACCGACGGTACCCAAGTACCGCCTGGCGATCCTGAGGTACCGTAAGGGGTACCGGACCGGCAGACTGTTCGATCTATTCTTCGTTTGTTTGTTCTGTTTCAACTTCCGGATTGTTCCCTATGCATTGTGTGTTGCATGACGGTAAGTGGAAGGTGTTTACACCTGACACTAGGCCGCTAAATGAGTTGCTTGGTTGATTACCTGATTATTGTAACCTTTCTGTTATAATTAAATATAATCCTGTTGTGTTATGGAAGTAAATAAGGAATTGAGATTGATGTTGGAATAAGTTTGAATTATAGAGGTGTTGTAAGTAAATGAGTAGGCTACCTATGGGAAAATCTAGGGGCGCTTTAGTAAGATTGTAAGCATAGATGTCAATAGGTAGGATCAGCCCTGCGGATCTGATATCCGACGGCCGCGTGTTAAAACGTACGTACGGGATCCAAGAATTGTCGTTCTGAAGGGGACAGGGGTACCACCCACCCAGCGGAGAACTCCTTCGTTGGTCATCAGGTTGTGTTGTGTCATAATGTAGACTTGAGTCATGGCCGTAGGTAGTGGCTCTAAGTCCGAACATAAGGTTGTAAATAAGGAAGTATCGTTTTGGCTTGGCACTTAAGTTATGAGTTAAAGACAAAGAGGAAATAAGGTAATGATTTGTGACTTGTGAATTTATTTAATGACTGTTATGTGATATTATACTGTATACTTGTGTGCATGATATTGTATGAAGTTATGAGCTAGTGGGTTCGTCTATGTGCGTAGTCAAAACGTTAGATAGTTCTCACTTAGCTTCAATGCTGAGTGTGTAGCCATTTTTCCTATTTGCTACACGTAGGTAACGTGAATGATGAATAAGGAACTATCCTGGAGGGCAACGAGGGCAGAGAAGATGGATGGATGCTAGCTGGAGGAGTTTATTATTTAATATTTAAGTTTGAATTAATTATGTTTTTAAGGGCAAGAACCCAAAGTTGTATTTTGATTAAGTACTTAAAGGCTTCCGCACCGTTTTGTTAACTCCGATGGATTTATATATATTGTTTTGAATTAAATGTTTTTAAATTGTTTTTAAAATTATTGTGTCTGAATACCAACTTAGTAGCGATCCGCCGATCCTTGTATTCGGGTCACGCGGGTTGGGGTGTTACATTTTGGTATCGGAGCAAGTGGTTTTAAAATCGGTCTTCGGACCTTTTCAAAAGAAGAACTACAAAAAAAATGTTTAAAAAAAAGGGGTTTCAAAAAAAAAATTTGAAAGTGTGGATTTGTTTATAAGGTACTTCAGCAGCAACATCATCCGCATCTCTCGCAACTCCTCTACCCCAAGAAGGTGATAAAATTTGATTACTTGTTTACCATGTATTAGTAATTAATTAGGGAAGTTTGACCTGTATAGAATGAGCGAAGCATCGAATAATCAAAACGAGACCCAGGACATGGAACAAAACGTGGAGGCCCGATTATGCCTGCGTTCCTAACGTAGTTTCTGCAGCAACTGCGTTCCTAATGGGGTCGACAAAATGTTAACATGAAGTGGTGGCAAAAAAAATTTCATTTTGAAAATAAATTTAAAATAATCCTATTTCAAAAATTAAGATTAAAAAATGTCATAATTTAATAGAACACCATGATTCTTTTAAGATAAATATTTGATGTCACATCATAACATCGAACATCTACGACCTTCTATCGAATCCCAAAGTAATTTATGTCTCTCTAATCCTTCAAAAACTCCCTGCTCCTCTGCACCCCACGTCCTGTGTTGCTAATAAGCGAGCAAGTAGGGAGCAAAGGAGACTAAGATAAGATGCAATGAAGGCAAGAGGATTTTAGAGAGATGGTAGGGAGGTAAAAGTCATTGAGTACCGTAAGTGCCCTAAATGAAACGATATCATAATCAGGGGTGGATCCGAAAAATATATATAACGATTGAGAATACACTTGTTAAAGGAATTATTTGCTTAAGGGATTATGACAAATCCATATTTGCTCACATTTTTAAGTACATTTATGTTAAATTCTCAAGCTCACTAGGCACTTGTTGAGAAAAATTACCCTCTCAAATAACAATACAACACTCAAAATATTATGGAAGGAATAAAATATGTGCAGAAAAATTAAAAGAGCAAGACACAATATTTTTTACGTGGAACCCCTCTCAATTAGGGAAAAACCACGATCCTTTTGGATTAAACTTTTCACTATAATATCAATTGGAGTACAACAAACACAACACCAAAACAACAATTGATATTCTCTCCACAAACAACTCACCCTATGGCTAGTGCTACACGTCTACACTCACATCTTTTAA